ATCGGCTACCAAGATCGATCTAAAAACCTTAATTCAATTTGATCGACCACAAATGTTCGATCAACCAATCACTTTGGTTCGATCGACCTCCAAGACCGATCATAAAACCACATTTCGGTTTGATCGGTCATGAAGGCTCGATCAAACACACACTTTAGTTTAATCGATCACCATGATCGATCACAAAACCACATTTTGGTTTGATCGACCATAAAGGTCCAATCAACCACACACTTTAATTCGATCAGCCACCAAGACCAATCACAAAAACCACATTTTGGTTTGATCGACCATGAAGGTTGAAACAAACACACACTTTGGTTCAATCGGCCACCAAGGTCGATCATAAAACCACAATTCGGTTTGATCGGTCATGAATGTCCAAACAACCACATACTTTGGTTTGATTGGCCATCAAGGCCGATCACAAAACAACATTTTGGTTTGATCTGCCATGAAGATTCAATCAACCACACACTTTGGTTTGATCGACCACTAAAGCCGGCCGCAAAACCACATTTTGGTTTGATTGGCCACGAAGGTCCGATCAAACACACACTTTCGTTTGATTGGCCACCAAGGCTGATCAAAAAATCACAATTTGGTTTGATTGGCCACGAAGGCACACTTTGGTTTAATCGGTCACCAAATTCATTCATAAAACCACATTTCAGTTTGATCGACCATGAATGTCCATCAACCATCACTTTGGTTCAATCAGACACCAAAATCGATCACAAAACCTCACACACTGGTCTGATCGGCCTCCAAGGGCGATCACAAGACCACGCTTTGGTTTGATCAGCCATGAAGGTCCGATCAACCAATCAATTGCATGATGCACTTGCATTTGCATTTCTTGTATGTTGTGCCAATTGCTTGCATTTTCTTTGCATAGGAAAAATCAAAATTTGAATGATATGTAATATGTTAAAATATCATTGCATGAAAATCAAGTCTTTGCCTTTCACATCTGTTTGTATGTGGTGTTTCAATGAGCACCAACACTTGCGGTATTACTACACAAATATGTCATCATATGTGTATGGGTCAATACTTGCAGATTCTTGGATGAGAAGTGGATAGCAATGCTAGCCCATCGGTTTGTGAACCTCCTAAATGGAGAGCACGCCGCCTCATCTTTTATGACATCACACTTGATGTCATAAGCATCCCACAATGTGTGTTCACTTGATTTTGTTATATTTGCATAATTGCATGTGCATTATCTTATGTTTCTTGATAGCAAATTAGTCTTGTTAGGTGTGTGACCCGTGTGTTGATTGTGATGCTCTAACGAGCTTTGTTTGCTTATAAATCTTGGTGAACAATGCGAGTTATTGCGTCAGGGTCAACACAAGTGTGACTATGTTAAGGTTCTAAGGAATCTAACATATGTCACATTGCATGTACGGAATCACGTTTAATAGTTTGTTATATTTAAAAATTATGCAATTAGCAAAGCTAGGCCATATGTATGGCCAATTGTCTTAAAACTCTTTGGGTGATGAATATTAGTTCTCTTAGATCTTTAGAATAGGACCGGAATCGATAACCCCATTAAAGTTATAACCGGTAGCCTTTACCTATGTACTTAGATGTTGGTTATGACACTTTTCGTTAGATGGTATGTTAGTCTAGGGCTAGGATGCTATGCAACATTTTTTATACCTGACTATAGTTCTCTGCTAGATTAGTTGGCCTAGGTAGGCATCGTTTTTTGTGATGATTTTGTGTGTTTACTGAGTTTGGAGACATGCACAATAATATATTAGGATTGGTCTTCTTGGAAGGAGTCATGCTTAACACACATACACATAAAAAAGGGAGGAGCAAGTAATGATTTGAAAGCTAACTTTTTCTACAGGTGCTGTTAAAAGCTCATTCCACCAGACATGGCTCATATATGTTGCATGAATATAACATGTGTTAATTTTTCTATAGGTTGCGCCTTTTTTTTTAATTTTATCATGCATTTGTTAGAGTCTTTAGGATCAGTTTGTATCGGAAATAAGGTACGGGCATGAGTTCTGAGGTGCAGGATGCATTGAACCACGTGATAGGGACCAAAAATAGTTGCTCGTGTCCCGTACCTTAATTTTGTAATTGTATTCATGTATAGATTTAAGAATGAACATGTATATGCAGGTCCAACCGTTTTTCTTGTGTTCCTAGGATATGGTGTCGACCCAGCGACACTGGCCTATATATTTTGTTTAGCTTGATTTAATTTACATTGTGCACTGTACTTGCCTTTTTCTTACTTTCTTTGATTGTGGATTGTCTGGGCTAGTACAAAATGTAACATAGGCTCATTAAAGTCCAGAAATGTCCTTTGTAAAATCTTAATTATAAAAGATTCAAGATAAATTTTAAAATTTAGGATGAAAATATTCTAAATTTAAAATAAACAATTTATTTTATACCCTTACTTTTCTACATGTCCTTCGGGCTGGTTTAAAAAAGGGCTGCATAGTATGACAATATCCCAAGTCATCTCTAATAGAGCCTCCACATTTTAATTAATTTGCAAAATATAGATGTATCATTATGCATGTACCGAGGAGAAGTCCTTCAATCAACTACGCCAAATATGATTTCTACATAGAAAGTTGTCTGGTACGATTAGGGTGTTAGAGGCTCCCTCAACCCAGATGGGGGCGTAAGTCCTTTGTGAGGAAGTTCTGGATATGTAGCTGGATCTCTCTTCTCTTCTCCTTTCCAGTGGCATATTCATCATCGAATTGATGAGTATAAGTCTCACCTTTACCTATTGATAGGAAATTTGAGATTTCTTTCCTCTAACATTAGAGCTATCAAGGTTTCCTTGGACGATACATTTCACGTATTGTTGATAAGGAGTCTTTCGTTGTATTGGGTAGACTACCTTCAATACCGGATAGACCTAGGGTCCTTATAGCATGGGAAGACGAATCTGTGGTATCCTGACCAAGCTACCTCTACCTACTTAGGGATTCCTCCCCTTTCATGTTGATGCCTCTTTTTGAGCTAGGTCATTCTCTGGAAAAATTCATTGATATCGTTATGTGGGCCCTGCATGCCTAGGTGTCGCCGCCCGTAGTGGTTACAATGATTCACTCTCTACCCTATGACCCGGTGTGTATCGAAAATATCGGAATTTCCCCATTTGAGACAATAAAAATCATTCGTTTTAATAAATAACTGGATCAAAAATTATGCAAGCAAGATCCTTCTTATAGAGAATATTCCTGAGCATCCCCGAAGATGCAATTAACCAAAGTGATATGTTCCTTTGGGAGCTGCTCTTAACTTAGAACAAGCACAAAAACTTAAATCTCTAGTTGTGGGTTGATTTCATAGGGTTTTCTTCGTGGATATGCTTTCAAGGGGTTTCGATCCGACCTCATTCCGGACGTACACTCATTGGCTATCGCGTAAAGGCTACCTTATGATACTTCTCTAAGTTCTTTTCAAATTGTTTGTCTTTTTTTTTGTCGTATTTTCTTTCTTTTTTATTCCTCTAAAATGAGATATTTATTTAGAAAGAAAATTATACGAAGACGATAAGACAAGCTGTCGACTCCAAAAAATTCTTACAAAAAGAACAAAAAAAATGCTTTAATAATTTATGGATATCTACCGTGTGTGATTTGTCAAACTCTTCCGTTAATATTTTGTATAACAGATTTCATACATCCACTTATATGATCATCTACAGAAGCAGACATTTCAGTGATAGCTTTCTTTATATATATATATATATATGTATATA